GGAATTAACGAGGAGGTGACAGAAAACTTTCGCCACGTTTTCTTTCATCGTCTTCCATTCACTCTGTGCTCGCTTGGATTACGCTTCTTTAACGTTATTGTTCCCGGTGAATTTTTAATATTAATGGCCATCAACGGGCCACTGGATGTACGGCCGATTCCGCGCCGCCATGATTTAAAAGCCGTCGTCGGGACACAGCTCGCGTCACACGAACTATGCATTAAGGCCGAATTTGAATTTAAGATCATCTCCTGGCCTCTTTGTGAAACCGATCCTTATTTTTCTCTATGCACGCGGCGGGCCCCCAGGGTGTCTCGTTAGAGGTCCTCCTTAATGTCATACTCGACCCCGTGTTTTGCAACCATTGCTCGCTTCGGCTCCGCGTCGTCCTTTTCGTTCATCCTTTGTTCCTGTCGTTTTCCTTTTCCTTTTCCCCGTTTACCTCCACTTCTGAAAGCCTCGATTAAAGCACAAGCCGCTGATACCACGCGATTTTTACACGCGCACCATGAAATTGGAGATTAACGCGTCGTGGGGATGGGATCGACTGTTTGGGCTCGTTCAGTATGAAAATTGGATTATAGAAATGAATTAGTAATGGAATTCTGTTTTTATATGTGGTATTGAAATTGAAAGACAAAGACGAAAATTAATTATAAATTAGTCGTGATGAAACTTTTATAGTTGTAGAATAACCAGGAATTTTCGACGCGTATTTTCCTTTAAAGGGTGAAAATCAACCCTGAAGTAATAAGATGATAGTTAATGAAATTATTGCAAAGGAATTTTGCATTTTTAGTGACGAATTTAACTGTCAGACGGATTTATAAAGAATCCATTTGTTTAAATAATAAATTAAATAATCGACCACTTTAGTTAATTTCTTTGGTAATTTCTTTCATCATGCTCTTCTCTTCTGTTTGAAAGAATGTTACTGACGTATCTCAATTATTTTCTACAAGAATTATTTCCAGACAAGAAAATAGCGAATATAAAACACGTATAAATAGAAATAAACTTCATCTTAAATTTTCTATTTTGAATAAAAAGTAAATTTGAAGAAATGGGGATTTCTGAAGTGGTATTTTCAAATCCTCTAATCACTATTATCTCGGGATATTTTTATTCTTATTTAATTGGTAATTTATATACAAATTTTTATTTCAAATTTGCGTATAAAATTGTTGAATAAAATAATCGTTAAGAAATTACGTTTATAAAATGTAAAACGTATACTATAGAAATCCGGTTAAAATGTAAAGATATAAAATTTTGTTATCGGCGGAAACGTTAGGATTAACGATAAAAAAAAATAAAGCACTTGAAACGGAAGGAATAAAAACAACAAAAATGCACGTACAATGGACGTATTCAAATAACACGAAGATAAAACAAAAAAAAAAAAAAAAATTGAGAGCAGGAAAAAAACACGCTTTAAGTGCTGAAAAATTCTTATCGTTACATTTTCCAATACTCGACAAACATTTTAAACGGTGCATAAAATATAACTTCCGCAAAAATTTCGTGTTTGAAAGTAAAGCATTTCCTTGTTCCATAATGTTTTATACGAGAACCTACAATGCCGACGAAAAGTTTGAAAGTGCTGTGGATTTTCAAAACTAATTTTACATTTTTTTGTATTAATATATATATATATATAACCAATTAATATATGAAAAGTGAGGTAGTATAAAATAATATGGAATAACTTCATAAATAAAATTATTTTATAATTTTTTCGAAACAAATATATTTTTAACTTTTCCCTAATAGTATGCATTTTTCTTTTTCTTTTTCGAATAAATTTTTGCTCGTGATTGAATTTTAGTGTAAAAATTTCGAAATTTAATAATTAAAAATAAAAATAATTCGAAAATTATCGAAATTATGGTACGAATGTTCCATCAACGATAAAACTGAAGATTCTGAAAAATTTAGGTCTACTTCTCTTCGCAAATTTATTACTTCAATATCTAGCAAACTCAGGTGGGACTTTCTCATGACTTGGATTTACATTAGACTTGCCGATGACTCCATATTGTTTACCAATGGACAGCATCGGACTTACCACGCCATATTGATTACCGAAGACCGACGCTAGAGTTACAACGACGCCATGTTTACCCATATCGTTACATAAACTAATTATATTTTAATAAAACCAGCCACGGTATTTATAAAATTAACAATCTCTCTGATATCACAGTCACTATGTAACATAAAGCACGTGGTAAAATACTCGAAGAATTTTATTTTTTAATAAACGTCGTTCTAAAATAACCGACAATTACATAACCTCCAAAATAACCTACCTACAAATAGACTTGCAGCCATTTTGCAGTTAATCTTTTTGCTTTCCTAATACCAAAATCCACCATGAGTAGAAAAATTCAGAAGCAACTAATTGCTTTAGACTTCTATCAGGAAACCAAGAATAATAGTCAATAAAATATTACAAGAAATTATAAACGACGTGTCAGTGGTTGCAGTGTTGAACACGGTATAAAACACTCTCAGCTTTCCCTAAAAATTTCACGCCAATTCGCTGCTGTTTCCCAAGATGCTCGATCAGCAAGAACTATAGTAAATATAAATGACTAATTTTCAGGGGGCAATAGGTCCTGCTGGTCACTGATGTGGAACCATACGTATAACACGTTAACCAACGACATATTAGCGAGTCGTTTTCCATTAAATACGATACCTGAAAATGTTATTAACACTTTACGCGGTGCATGGAGTAGCCTCGAAAAGGACATGTTTTCCTGCATATACACACGCTAGCATAATTGATATTACGGCATGGCGTAACGTCATTCGCCCCATTATGCCAGAGGTCGCCGTTCAGATTAATATTAACACCTTATTACCGGCCACGAAATTACAATTTCTCACACGTACAACCAACCTGAACTGTTATTTTTATAAGGATACTAATTTTATAATGCGCGTTACTGAGGACCGAGGCGAAATTGTTATTATCACTTAACGACGGTATCACATTAACGGAGTACAATACTGTGCCTCTGCCGTCGACTAGTAATCATTGATTAATAATTCCTACCTTCCCAACAGTTACTCGAAAATTGAATTTCCAGGGAAAATCTTATACGGAATTTAATCCCTATGCAGAGCTTTGTACACTATGTTGATTTCATCGGTAGCTGGGAAGTACAGCTATTGATAATTAAATTGTGATACTCAAAGTCCTTTGAATGTAAAGAGACCTTTTGCAAGGAATAATGTAATAACAGCTCTCGTTGTAATATGAATCCTTTGAATCGGAGCAAGTGATTTCAAGGAAATTTTAATTTTAATATGTACTTTTAAATAATCATCATTTCTTTCAATATCGTTTTTCCAACATTTGTTGACGATAATCCTTTGGAACCTGAAAAATTTAAAAAATTGGCAATTGTATAGATCTCGCTGAAGCTGAAGGTAATATGAAATTCTCGAAGTGAAAGCAATAACCAGATGGAAATTTGATAATGAAATATAGTTTTCAAACAACTTTTTAAGCAAATGTAATTTTCTTTGTATCATTCTTAATACTCGTAGATACTAATTTCGGGTAATTTTAAAAACTTCAAAGTGTTGATTTGAAAAATTTGCAAGGACCCTCATTTCATCGAGATTATGTGTAATAATAAATTCACAAAATGAGAGAAAATTTGATATTAAAATATCGTTTGTATTATTTTAATACTCCTAGATAATAGTTTTCCAAAACTTAACGAATTAAAGCATTGACAATTGTGGTAATTGTTGACAGATTTTAATATATATTGATATAATAGTGAGTGATGTTTGTAAAAAAGGATGCATGGGATATGTCAATATCAGCGAATTAGGTTATTATGAAAAATGAATATGCATATAATGAATGAAGTATAGTATGGACTGTGTATATTCATGTCATGTATGAAAGAAGACAAAACAAATGAGAGAGTAGTGGAATAAGTCAGTTGCAATTCAGATTTCATTAAGAGTAATAAACGTGTGAACGAGTAACGTATGAAAGAGTGATCATAATTATACATATTTCATCCCCAATTTTTCTCTGTCCAATAAGATTGTTAAATAAACATTTAATATATTCATATAAGTATACTATCCACTACTAACAACAATTACATCTATCTCGTCAAGTTTAATTAAATGCACAAAATAGATTGCATATTAAAATCACAAATACCATCGTTCCCTTAACCCTTTCACTGCCACGCCAAAATCACATGTTTCGCTCAGGGCGCCGAGTACTTTTATTACTCGAAATATAATGGAAAAATAATAATAAATTGGTGATGTAAGGCAACATTCTTACCCAATGGAGCGTTTATCTTATTGGCTGTCACGGGTGACCACCGGTGGCGCCTTGGTAACGGTTGACAATCGACTGACTGTTAATTTTCGTTCAATTTTTACAACTGTAAGTAGTTCAAGCATTTCGATCACCAATGACCACCATAGCGTCACAGAAGATACCGTGGCCGGTCATATACGATCAACATGACAGTCAAAGTGTTAAGCTTAAACCCTAAAAAAGGTATGTCTCACACGATAACACCCCTGTACTAAACAACGCGATTCCCCAACGATTCCTAGCTTTCCAATTTACGCAAAGTATTCCAGCTAAATCTGATCTCGTTCGGCGCAAAAAATCACAGGGAGGAAAACAAATATGCAAATGTCTCCGTGTACCGTCTGCATCTTCGCTAATCCTCTTACGATGAATACGCTAGTCGCGCAATCTCGTTGCTAACAGAGAAAGCGCCTGGAACTGCTCCGTTGCAGGAAATCCAGCGAGAACTCTTCGCAAACGACATAGCATCTATTTTCCGAGAAGTTCGGTGGTGAAAGAAATTCGTAGATGAGAAAATCGTCTCGAGAAGCCACGAAGGGTTCGCGATGGCGGCGGAACGGGGTACCCTCGAAGCGATTAAAAAGAGCGTGTCGAGGGAACGAGCTGTTTATCGTGGGATTTATAATTATTCCAGAGTCAACAAGCGATATCACGGAAGGTGTTTACGCCGGCGATCGTGCCCGGTTGGTTTATGGGGTGTTTACCACCCCCGTGAACTCGATCGGCGGCTCGGCCGTCTGCGCGTTCTCCATGAAGAACGTCCTCGAAGTCTTCCAGGGTGCGTTCAAGGAGCAGGAGACCATAAACAGCAACTGGCTGCGAGTACTCCCGGAGAAAGTGCCCGAGCCTAGACCCGGGTCGTGCGTCAACGACTCCAGGACGCTTCCAGACGTGACCGTGAATTTCGTGAAAGCGCACCCCCTCATGGACGACGCAGTCCAGTCCTTCTTCTCATTACCTGTGATAACCAAAGTCAGCTTCAAGTAAGTATCCTGTGCTTATTGAAATTCAGTTATCCGTCTTTGTCATCTGTCACTTTGCTTCCGAATTTTCATCGAATTTTTCCAATCTTTGTATTTACCGTGAAGCATTAGAGGTTAAACCGTTCGCTATTTAATAATGTAGGGTACTATTTTCGAGAAAGAAATCGCGAGTGGATCAATGGCGATTCGGGATCTTACTTTAGAAAAAGCACATTATAAACCGGTCAGTGACCTATGTGTGACATTTTTCTAGAAACAAGTCGAACAACAACCGATACTGTTATGAAAGGTTATTTTTGGTAGCAAAGCTAAGTTGCACGATCTTTATGGCGGGAAGGGAGGTGGAGGGGGTGAAACGCAGGTCAGTGAAATCGTAATCAATTTTTATGGGGCAAATCGCTAATGGGCTGAATCATATCAACCAATTAGCGATTGGAAAGGGCACGCCATCGAATTTTGCAAAGGAAAACTTGCAATAAAAACAGGACCCTCGAAGAAGTGTTAACACGTTAAACGCTACGCTGATTCTACGCTGCCATTGCGTTCACGCTAGAGTTAGCCGTTATGCGGGCCCTTCTGGCCCGCGCGGGCCGGCAAGGCCTCAACGGAAAGTCTAGCGCCAGTTTCTAGGGTCCCTAGGGCGTAGCGTTTAACGAGTTAAAGGATCCTCGTGAAAATAGATTGTCATCGATTTGTAAGTCGTTCGGTGTTGGGGAGAGACGAATTAGAGCGTGTTTTCCGAGTGTTACAGTTGCGTTATTTTCTTGCGTTAAATTAGTTTCCGAGTTTGGTGTTCGTTTTATTCCGTTTCATATTGCTCTGTCCGTTTTTGGTGTCTTAAACCATTCGCGTATTCCTTCGTTTTTCCTTCCTTATATTCCTTCGATAAAGGATGGAACATATTTATATTTTATTCCTGTACAGTGAGGACAATAAAACCTATTTTCGACATTCTGCAATACTAAACCTAATCGTAGCCTATTTGAGTTTTTAAACATTTCGTTTCGTTTAAAATTCTGCGTTCGAAATTATCGTCCTCGCCACTCGTTTTCGCGATTTTTCTTATAATGCACGTATAATCGATCTTTTAATGTCGATAGTTACTTCATTTTTTTCTTTTTTTTTTTTTTTTTAAGATTCTATTGCTTTTAAGTTCACCGGTTATTTAATCGCGGTAGGTTTAATGTTAACTTACCTTCAGACACCTGTCCATCATTTTGAGCTCGTAGGAATCTGGTTAGAGTGTTCAATGTTTTCTAACAAAACAGAGTATAATTGAAGGGTTCAACTGGTTCCTGTGAAACAATAAACGAGCTTCCGATTTTAAGGATTTTGTACTATAAAGTCATTTTATTTTTTGAGGAATAAAACTTGTGACAATGGAATAGTGGTTAATAGGAGATTTCTAATTTAAAATTCAGTATCACAGAATCCATGATATATTATTATATATATTATATAAATATTAAATAATTTATGTGACATTTCTTCGTTGCTTAGTTATTACAATACACATTTAAGGTTATACGAGTGATTTTAGAAATATCCGTTTTATTACTTTTCTGTGACACTGTATATTTAATTACTCGTCCAATTAAATCCAATTAGTACGATTAATGAATTGATGAATTATTCGATGAAATTTCATTGTCCATTCTTAATTTATTTTCACGTGGAGTGTTAATTATTATTGCCGTATTTCCCAGTAATCAAATTTCCCAACTCGATTAGTTTGAACGTATTTCCATGTTTTATATGCTTTATTGAAGCATTAGTTAACAGTCATAGTCAGGAATGGAGCTAAACAGCAACTAATTTGCTTCGTAATAACTTACATTAACAAGTAAGATTGCTGCATGAATTAGACAAATTGCAGACGTAACTCGTTTAGCATTAATTTCCCTTCCAGCAGCAACTACTATAATCTTGTAGTTCGTAATTCGTATATAATAATTATTAACTCTTAAACTAATTCTTCTAACTCTAAACCGAAATTTGTTTTAACTCTGAAACTTTAATTCTTAATTTCTAAATTAATTCTTCTGACTTTAAATTAAAAATTCCTTTAACTCTTAAATATCGATTCTTAATTACTGAATTAATTAAATAATTTTTAATTCGATTAAAAATTATTTCAATTCTTAAAGGACAATTCTTGATTTTTAACTAACTTCCCTAGCCCTAAATTAAAAATGGTACCTAACGAACTAAATAAAGCAATAAAGCTCTGATTATTTTAATGAAATTTAATTTTTCATCCTAATACAATATTCTATAATAATTCTCATTTTAATAAAGCAATATTATTTCTTCCCATATTTCAATTATATATTCAGTACAAACACCTTTCAAATTAATTCCTAACCTATTACATAAATTCTTACAAATTAATACTAAACGTGCCGGTATTTTACACACACCTAACCTTACCATAGGGGGTCAAATGACCCCTTGTAATATATAAGGCATGCAAAGAATTTTTCTCGGTAAAAATAAGTTAGGAGAGAAACGGAAAGCGAGAAATCAAACAATCAGATAATATGAGAATTTACAGAAAGTCTGATGAGCGAAAGAAATAACAATGAATGTACGACTTATAAAGTAAATTTTGAAAGGGATCATTTGACCCCGCTTGGTACGTTTAGTGTTAACCCTTTCGCTACTACGGGTGACTATAGTCACCGATCATGAGACGCCATCTACATAGGACAGGTGACTATAGTCACCGGCCACGAGACGCCATCTACACACGACGGATGACTATAGTCACCGATCATAAGACGCCATCTATATACGACGGATGACTATAGTCCCCGGCCATGAGACGCCATCTATATACGATGGATGACTATTGTCACCGGCCACGAGACGCCATCTACACACGACGGATGACTATAGTCACCGATCATAAGACGCCATCTATATACGACGGATGACTATAGTCACCGACCATGAGACGCCATCTATATACGATGGATGACTATTGTCACCGGCCACGAGACGCTATCTACACACGACGGATGACTATAGTCCCCGGCCATGAGACGCCATCTATATACGATGGATGACTATTGTCACCGGCCACGAGACGCCATCTAATAGAACGGGTGACTATACTTACCGGCCACGAGACGCCATCTACATAGAACGGGTGACTATAATCACCGGCCACGAGACACCACCTACATACTAGTGACTATAGACAGAGGCCACGAGACGCCATCTACACACGACAGATGACTATAGTCACCGGCCATGGGACGCCATCTACATAGAACTGGTGACTATAGTCACCGGTCACGAGACGCCACCTATACACGACAGGTGACTATAGTCAGAGGCCACGTGATGCCACCTACTTACATAGGACAGGTGACTATAATCACCGTCCACGAGGCGCCACCGACATACAACAAGTGACTATAGTCACCAGCCACGAGAGGCCACCTACATAGGACAGGTGACTATAGTCACCGGCCACAGAAATTGAGTAAAAGATTAAGACAAATGCCACCGTTCCTCTTAGCGCTCTTCGCAATGAATTGCAAGCTCTATTGCGATGGTCAGTTTTTCCTTTTCTTTTTTTCTTCGAAAGATTTGCGTGAAAAGACCAAATGCTAAGGATTGCACTATCGTAATGTTACCATCTTTGACACGTCGCTTCGTTCTACGGGAGAGGGTTAATTAATTAAAAGGTTAATCATATTTTCCAATATTATGTCTCCCAAATTCATACTCCTTTATAAATACAAAGAAATTAAGTATTCGAGGCTAACAGTCTAAAACGAAGAATTCAGCAGTAATTACTCGAACTTCCTGCTATTTCGAAAAATTGTTCACACGACAATCGCAGTTACCGCTTTAATTACTCAACAATTCCCTGAGAAAGTAGCTCTAAACGCCAACAATCAACCGGAACATCATATTCCAGTTACAGATTTACCAAAGTCGCCGTGGATCCTCAAGTGAAGGCGTTGGATGGCAAGGCCTACGACATCCTGTACGTCGGGACAGGTGAGTTGCAGCAGTTGTGCACAACGGCGAACAAAAGCACTCGCACGGATTTAATTATGATAATTTCATAATTATGCGTAGACGACGGCCGAGTTCTCAAAGCGCTCAACACTCGCGCGCCGGATTCTCTGAGCAACGTTAGCCAGGTCATCGTCAGCGACGTTCAAGTGCTGAAGTATGGTAAGCAGTCCTCGAAAATTTCCTCCGCTCTTTTTCCTTCTTTATTTTTTTATTTTTATCTCCCTTCCCACTCCCGAATAAAACGCCCTCGATGCATCCGTGCAATTCGACGTACGACCACCCGCTTCTGATAAGCATCAACCCAATTACATAATGCAAAACAGGGAATTTCGAGGGACCATCGATCGTGTATGTGAATTTTAATCCTCGGAATTCGACCGATCTAACTGCATGGGTATGAGGAATTTCTGACGAGTATGAAATGGAGATTCGTGGGATTGATTTTGGAAGAGTCTTCATTTGAGTCGTATCATGGAGAATGATACTTTTGGAGTCGTTGGATGACCTGTCAAGGTCCCATAAATATTAGATAATTTGCGTTATTTATTATACCGTATTATAGGAAACACTGTGATGAAACAGTTAATTTTGGTTACTTGGGTGTATGTAGGTTGTGTAAGGTATAACGTTTAATGGAATAACGAAGTATACGTGCTGGTCTACTGTCATAAGTAATGCAACTGGTGGGAAAGAAATGAAGTATGAAATAGGTGAAGATGTAAGACAGGGGGATAAGGATTAATTAGATAGTATTGATTAAAATACAAATTTTCTTTTAATTAATTCTGTGCGTAGAATATAATTTCGTAAAATATAATATAATATCGTTCGAGGATTATTAGTATTTGAAATTGTTTACGCAAATATGAAGAGGAAATTTTTCTTACAAGTTTAATATTTTTATAATAATAATATCGTCTTTGCAATTTTATTAGTTTTTGGTAGAATCGATGACAAATTATATTCAATTATTTTAATTTCATAAAAATTAATTATTACATAGAAATAAGAAATCAGAATAGCCTAGAATTCAAATCAATGAATTGAATATTATGAGATTTTAATTTTTGATAATATTCTGTATCGGAGTAATGAAAATTCTTATTTTAAATTACTATCATAATTACCACGGTAAAACAATGAATTAAGTATTATAGAACGTTTGTTTTTACTAGTCATTTCTTATTTTTATTATATGCTACATTAAAGTATCATTTTCTATAACTCCATGATCTTCATTTCAAATTACTGTAATAATATCAATGGTAGATTAATTAATTAAATATCTTAAGATACTTATTTCTACCAATAATTTCTCACATATATAATAACAAAAATTTTATTTCTGTTTATCATTTTTACCATTAAATAAAAGACCATTCTTATTAACTCCATCATCTTTGTTTCTAATCATTGTAATAATATCAATACTAGCTTAATTAATTAAACATCACCAATAACATCTCATCTATATATAATAATAAAAATTCCATTTCCATTCATTTTCACCTTACTTCGAATCAAGAGACCATTCTTAATAACTCCATCTTCTTTATTTCAAATCATTGTAATAATATCAATATTAGCTTAATTAATTAAACATCATCAATAATATCACACCTATATAATAATAAAAATTCCATTTCCATTCATCATTTTCACCATACTTCGAATCAAGAAACCATTCTTAATAACTCCATCTTCTTTATTTTAAATCCCTGTAATATCAATGCTAGCTTAATTAATTAAACATCACCAATAACATCTCATCTATATATAATAATAAAAATTCCATTTCCATTCATCATTTTCACCCTACTTCGAATCAAGAGACCATTCTTAATAACTCCATCTTCTTTATTTCAAATCATTGTAATAATATCAATATTAGCTTAATTAATTAAACATCATCAATAATATCACACCTATATAATAATAAAAATTCCATTTCCATTCATCATTTTCACCATACTTCGAATCAAGAAACCATTCTTAATAACTCCATCTTCTTTATTTTAAATCCCTGTAATATCACTGCTAGCTTAATTAATTAAACATCATTAATAATATCACACCTATATAATAATAAAAATTCCATTTCCATTCATCATTTTCACCCTACTTCGAATCAAGAGATCATTCTTAACACTAGAACTACCAACCCAGTCAAAATGACTGATCCCAGAATTTTCCGTTTTGCAATCACCGAACACATACAACTGCTTTAAGAATAAAATTGGTATCAACTCGTATTAAGAAAGAACTGTAATCAATATATTCACTCGTATTCCTCGTACCGCTGAAATTACTATAATCTGTGCACGTTATAGTTAGGCACCCATTAAAGATCGGTAGTTCTAGTGCTAATAACTCCATCTTCTTTATTTCATATCGCTGTAATATCGATATTAGCTTAATTAATTAAACATCATCAATAATATCTCACCTGTATAATAATAAAAATTCCATTTCCATTCATCATTTTTACCAATAAACTGTATCAAAAGATCATTCTCCCTTGAACCTACCATAACAAAATCACTATCGACGCACAAAAAGCCAGCCACCTCGTAGAAACCAATCTCACCCGCAGAATTGCGAGAAACCGCGGAAATTACCAATTTAATTCGACGCTTAGAAAATGTGGAAAAACCTCTGGGGCCATTTCTAGTGGCTTGAATCGCGGCAAACACATTCCCGGACGACCCTACTGCAATCCCGTCGCATTTAACCCCTTCACGAGAATTAAAGTGGAGGCTTCAAAGGATCTGTTGGTGGTCCACCTGGCCGGCGAGGCGAGCAAGTTGGTCGTGTTTGCTGACTCCGAAATTCGCGCTGTTCCACTGCATCATTGCGACGCGCCAGGGGCGGCCAGCTGCGCGTCTTGCGTGGCCCTTCAGGACCCGCACTGTGCATGGGACGCCACGAAGAATCTGTGTGTGGCCGTGTCGACCAAGCTGCACGATAGCGACGCGGACAAAACCCTGTTCCAGGACATTATGAACGGGAAACACAAGGGCTGCGGCTTCGAGCAAGGTAATTGCCGTTAACGTGAACTCCCGGTAATAGAGTTGAAACGTTTAAGGGTCGATTTCTGGCGAGATTACGAGACGTTATCGCCGCGTATGCGACGTACACTTGTCGTCCTCGCTTGGATTTCTATTCTTTCCGCTCTTCAAATGGATTCGCGCTGATTCGTTTCTTTCTTCTTTCCTGTTTCATTTTTTTTTTTTTATTATTATTATTTTCTCCTTTTTTATGATTTTCTCTCGAAGGACTGTCGAATGAAGTATACGTTGACTCTTGTGAGAGGCACGATGTTGAGGAATGCTGTTGAGACCGGGTTTTTAACACTAGAACTACTCGTTAATGCATGTGGTATATGTATGTGCCGTTTGATAAATTGGTTAATTCTACTTACAAAGGAGAGAGAAGTTTTAATCTGGCAGTCTTAAGAAGAAATATGAAATTAAACGATTTTATAATATTATAAAATATTGTAGTATCCTAACGTTAGAAAATTTCGTGCACACCAGTGATTTTGAAGGAAAAACGTGCAAAAGGTGGTGCGGACTCGTGGAACTTCTCTTCTTGAGGCCTCACAGGATGTTTGAGAGGTTAGGAGTTTTAGAGTTAAGCATCAAACGAGTACCTCTAAGGCACTGAAATTTTTTAAAATTCATAAAGTGGAGTTCGTCACTTTGATCTGCGGATGGCACATATGGAGATAGTAATAATTAAAATGGTACGATGAAGATAGATATAATATGTTCTTAACACTATAATATAATATATAATGTATTATAATGAATGATAATATTTTGATTATGTCTATAGTATTAAATAGATATATATAATAAGTTATTGAGCAAAGAGCAACACAAATAACTGCATGTTTCCAGTACCTGTGAAAATGAAAAGGCTGAAACCATTTTGTCCATTTTGGTAGTTCTAGTGTTAAAATTCTGGTGATTGTATAGATTGAGATAGGATTTGATGGGGTGCAGGTGCACTGTACGTGTTGGGATAAATTTCATTAAACTATCTGTTAAACTGGAATTAACTCAGAAGTTAATCCAAATACACAAAACTATCCAAAATTACATTTTCGGAAATGAAGGAAATTGCAAAACTGGAAATATCAATGCCGTATCAACGAATATAATAACCCCACATAAACAAAGAGCTGGTCAGATGAAACTCCAAATTCTAGAAAATTAATTTCCAAACAATATTTGCATCTAAAAGAACAGATATCGTCGGTTTGAAAGAAAATAACGATTTTCTTTTAATCAGAAAATAACAATTCAATGCTTTTTTACTCTCTGAATCTATCTACAATAACAAGGAAACTATACGGTGTTCGATTAAAAAAGGTAAATAAAAATTGAAAAAAGGAGAGAGAACTCCAATCACTTTTTGATAGAAAGTGAGAAAATTCTACAGCACAGTGCATAACCATATTGCAGAAATTGCAGAATTAAAGTTATTCGAATTACATTGGCAAACGTTACCACGTTCACCATATTCACCAGATATTGCGCAATCGGATTATCATCTGCGTCCCTCGGGAGTTCTGTCTACTAAAAAATTGACCCACACAAGTAAAGAGAGATATACAATATAGATATGCAATAACCCATCGATTCCAAACGTGTGGATTTCTTCGCGTGGAAAGGAAAGTCTAAAATCTGTCATGAGAGAAAGTTGCTATTGGGAATGTTTCACTCCGACCGTCGTAGAAAGGAAATATATAATTAAAAACTTGAGACTTAATTTACAACCTGAAACTCTCGGAAGCATTTAAACAAACACAGGCCACCTGGAACAAAGCATCGAGCAGAATTTAATTGACGAAGGATTAAAACTTCATTTCATAGACGCCGTCGCAACTTCGACGTTCCTCCTTTCGCGAAACAGTTCTCCCAATGATTATCCCGACCTTGTTAACATGTTCACAGTTCATCGAATCTTCATTATCCATAGTTCACCCTGATGAGTAATTTTTCTGCATAATCCCTTCCTTTCTAACACTGGATCTATCATAGCCTGTGTAATTTTAATATTTGATTATTTAATATAATTTATTTGGATATATTTAATATTTGATTATTTGATATAATTTATTTGGATATATTTAATATTTCATTATTTGATATAATTTATTTGGATATATTTAATATTTGATTAAAAATTGCACATTCAACGTTACCTCTTTGGTCACTCGATTTCTCGATTTTTCTTTTAATAGGAGCATTATCAATTTTCCAATATCTTGATTTATTTTTTCTTTCTTTGAAATTTTCCATCTTACATTTCTCTATATGACCCATTGGTCGTTTAGCCGATCCGTGGTAGATCTAGTTTCAAAACTTAATAAAATTCGGTTCAAAATTTTGTCATTTTTAATTAGCATGCTTCGCTTATGTTAATTCGTCTTTCGTGTATCTCTACGTGGACAGAAGTGTTTTCTTCTTAACCCTTTCGTGGCCAATCTTCCGCTTCTCGATATTAAACCGGATAATTTATTTATTAATATCGATGTATAATTAGTTCGAGGGGCGATTTCAAATTTGGCGCGTCAAATTTTCCTGTACCGATGCTGAGTTATAGACTTTGGATAGTATTTCGACATCGGTGTTAAATTAAATGAAACTAAGATAAAAAATGAAAATAAAAAGTAAGCCAAATATTAAGAAAAATTAAAATAAAAAGTAAAGTAAACGAGGTCGATTAAATTATACATAGAAACGGGGGCTTTAAACCTTATACTATAATAACGGCTCTAACTCGTGAGTTTTTCGTGCTAAATCCCATAAAAATTAATTGCACTCGCAACAGATGAATAATAATTACAGGTAAATAATAATAATAATTAATAATAATAATAATAATAAAGATTTAATAATTTAATAATTTAACTTCAAAATTTGAAGATATTTAAAAAATTTTCACAGACAATTTCTCGTAATTAAATTCTAGTCCAGGGGATTAACCTTTTAATCATTTACCTTGGAATCTTCCTGGCTAGTCGTTTTTAGATGGTGAGGTACGTGGAAGTGACTGCCATAAGAAGGGTCGCAGGGAATCTAGGGAGACCAAGTGCCTACGTGGCAAACGGGCCCGTTAATTAGCATGCACGACCTCAGGTTTACGATACGTCGGTACCTAAGAAAGCTAGGGTTGCATATGCTTGCAAGATGTGCAACGATCTGCTTCATCCAAGACCCTAGTTATAATGATCCCTCGTCGATATCTTCCAAAGACAATACCCAAACTTTCCGATATCCTCGCGATACTGCTTTTCCAAGTCTAAATATTTTATTTCACGTATTTCATTTTTCGAAATATTTCGAAACCTTCGAAGTTTCAGAAATCTTTTATTTCGTAATCCAACCCAAGTCCCATTCAGCATACTATTCCACTTGGTGGTCCATTGTCAAGACCTGCTGTGCAACTTAACTCGAAGCACACTTTCGTTCTTTTATTTTAAAATGGCAACATCAAAGACGGTATTTTAAAACTCGAACCTCAGAGATACTATAACGAATAATAATTAATTTATATGCACTTGCGAGGTGAAACTAATTGAAAAGTTTATCTTGCTTATATCACTTAAATCCCAAACTTTTATTTGTAATATAATTTTTCCTCGCCATTCATTGTAGATTTTTGTTACGAATAATATGGCGAAAATATCTCCATTTTAACACATAATTTTATCAGATAATTCTAAAGTCGGTTTAAAACATATTTTTCATACTACATTGTTCTCATAATGATAAATACCCATAAATTGAACAAGGAACAACGAGAAGTGTAAAATTTGTCAACTGGATAATTAAAAGAAAATAAGAAAAATAATATCAAAGAAATTCGAGGATACTATAGCGAATAATAATTAGCTTAAATGCACATGCAAGGTGAAACTAATTGAAAAGTTTATCTTGCATATATCACTTAAATTCCAAACTTTTATTTTTAATATAATTTTTCCTCGCCATTCATTGTAGATTTTTGTTCCGAATAAAGTGGCGAAAATATTTCCATATTAACGGATAATTCTAAAATCAACTGGGTTAACACGAAATAAGTTGCAATTAGAAAAAAGATAAGAAAAATAATATCCAGGAAATTCGAGGATACTATAGCGAGTAATAATTAGTTTGTGCGGACTACGATGTAAGAATGATGTGAAATTCCTGCCTCATCCTGTCAGTCTCGAAAGGGTTAACCGATCAGACGTTCACTGGGGTCTGACAGCGCGCTTGTCGCAGAATTACGATGACAGACTGCGAAAAAATCGTTCAGCAGCTTGCTCGTCCAGAAACCGTGAAGGCAGCTCTACTTAACACGCTTAAATTCGTTGGTTTTTCCGCGTTTACATCGAGAGGAATGTCGGGAAGAGTGCCATCCGTGAGAATTGGCCCGCCACGCTCGTTGATCGGTTTCAAAGCCTCTCCGGCTCAAAGAGGCCTCGACCATGGAGTTTCGTTCGCGGATGAAACACGTTTCCTGCAGTGGAATTTTCAACGCCTTTCCCGCGTAACCGTGCGATTGTGAATACAGTTATGAATGCGGTATTACCTGGTCTACGTAAATCACGTCGCGTCGATGGTCTAGGGGGACTCGTTATATCGAGATTTCGGGGAAAAATGTTGGCAAGCTTGCGCGTACGCGCTGGTTCCTGGTGATTAATCGTGGAATATAATTGAGGATGGTATTTTTAGCTTTTTATCGCCTGCCATGCAGATGGAAGCTCGATGTAACTGAACTTATAGGCTTGTTTCCAAGTTTTTGTTCGGTGTAACTATTTTTCTAACTCGTTTTCACGGGGCTCAACAGGAGGCTTTGACCATTTTATGGTATTTCTGATTCGCGAGAGAGGTATTCAAATTTTCATGTTGGTAAAAGTGAACTTGGAATTTATTTCGGTTGCAATTTGATGAACAAAATTATCTTTTCTGGCCTGTTAATTTTTAATTCTCTGACATTTTAGCGATGTCAAAAGTTCGTGTTATTTAAATAGAATTTAA